ATCAGATTCGGAAGGTTCGGGCAGGGCTAAATATCCGATCCGAGTGGGGTGGGCGATCTAGGTTTAGCAGCCTAAACCCAAATCCGCCAACTTATAGCCCCGTACAAAAACCTAAGAGCTCTCTTCGATCCCAAAATTCGCGAGACCTAGGTACGACTTATTGAAATCGCGAACCCAGGACGGCAGGTGGTCCAACGGTAGACGGTGGCTCCAATTTCCGACGATTGTCCTACGATGAGGTCCAGCAGAGGCGAGCACGTGGGTTATGCTTCAAGTGCGATGAGAAATTTAGCCCAGGCCACCGATGCAAAAATTGGCAGCTGCAGGTGCTTCTCGCAGTGGGGGAAGACGAGGGAAGTGAAGGGGAGAGCCAGGAAGAAGGGGAAGAGTCAACCAAGGATGCGGGAAGGCCGGCGGAGGAAGTCTGGGGTTATCTATGAACTCTCTCAAGGGAATGGCCACGGCAAAAACGATGAAGCTAAAGGGGACACTGGGAGAGAAGGAAGTGATTATTTTGGTGGACAGTGGGGCTTCTCACAGCTTCATTACTGCAGATCTAGTGCACAGTCTCGCCATACCCACTGATTTATCTATTCGGCACAAGATCGAGGTGGGCAATGGAATGAGTTTCCAACAGAATGGAGTTTGCAGAGGAGTATAGGTGCTTGTACAGGGATATCTGGTAGTCGAAGATTTCTTTCCATTTGAGTTGGGCAGTGCCGATCTGGTCTTAGGAATTTCATGGTTGCGGACGTTAGGGGAGGTTCGAGCGGATTGGACCAAGTTCACTATGAAGTTTCAGAAAGGGGCGGAGTGGGTCTGTTGGACAGGTGACCCTTCCTTGAGTTATTCCTCGATCAGCCTACGCTCCTTATCTCGGATTTGGACCAATACAAGGGATGGGGTACTGTTGGAAATTCGCGTAGCAAACAACGGACAGGTAGAAGGGGAAATCCGCCCAATCCCGCCACGGTGTGAACAACTCATCTGGGAATTCCACACTATATTCAACATGATTGAGGGACTGCCTCCACAACGCACAAGGGAACACTGCATTGTCCTTCGAGATGGCGCCACACTGCCAAACATCAGACCCTATCGTTACCCGCAGGTTCAAAAGGCCGAAATTGAGAGGTTAGTAGCGGATATGATGGCCTCTGGGATCATTCGACCCAGCAACAATCCTTATGCTAGTCCGGTGCTCCTGGTCAAAAAGAAAGATGGCAGCTGGCGATTTTGCGTCGACTATAGAGCTTTGAATCAGTTGACAATTCCAGACAAGTTTCCGAAAAAATTGACGAGTTGTTGGACGAATTACATGGCGCGATGGTGTTTTCTAAACTAGACTTGAAGTCTGGTTATCATCATATACGAGTTCGCGAGGGCAATGTGGAGAAGACGGCTTTTCGGACGCGTGAGGGGCATTACGAGTTCCTCGTCATGCCCTTCAGCCTTACCAACGCACCGGCCACCTTCCAACACGCCGGCCACTAATAAACTCAGTATTCTGCCCTTTCCTGTGAAAATTTGTTTGTGTTTTTTGACGATATATTGGTTTATAACAGGTCATGGGAGGACCACTATACTCACCTGTGGAGCGTGTTGGAAGTGCTGCGTAGCGAGGCTTTGTTTGCTAACTACGGGAAGTGTCTTTGGGAAAGGGCGGATCAATTATTTGGGTCGTGCTCTTGGCAGAGGGAGTGTCCGCAGATCCTTCCAAAATCAGCGCGATGTTGTCCTGGCCGTCTCCGTGAAATGTCCGCGAACATCGTGGATTCCTCGGTTCCACTGGTTACTATCGACGGTTTGTTCAGGGATATGGCTCACTCGCTCGGACCCTCACTGATTTGCTCAAGAGATGAACCTTCACATGGACACCCAAAGAGGAGGCCGCTTTTTGTCGACTTAAGCGCACCATGACTGAACTTCCAGTATTAGCAATGCCGGATTTCACTAAGGAGTTTATCCTAGAGACTGATGCATCGGGTAGCGGGGTTGGCGCGGTGTTGATGCAAGACGGGAGGCCGATTGCATATTTCAGTAAGACCCTTTCTCCCTCTTCCCGGTTGAAATAAGTATATGAATGGGAACTTCTCGCCATCATCCTAGCCATCCAAAAATGGCGGCACTACCTTTTGGGGTGGCATTTTATCATTCGAGCGGATCAACAGAGCCTAAAATTTCTTTTGGCCCAACGAGTCTTACCACCCGAACAGCTGCGGGTGATTACCAAATTGCTGGGCTATGATTTCGAGGTGCAATATAAGCTGGGTGCAGCGAACCGGGTGGCGGATGCACTTTTGCGCCGTGGGGAAGACTCACCTGTATAGTTTGCAGCTCTCTCTGTCCTTCACCAGGTCGACACGGAAGCCATCAAACGGGGACAGCTCGAGGATGCAGATTGTCGTGCCCTCATCATGGATATCCGCCAGGATAGGCCCGTGAGTGAAGGCCATGGTGTTCGCAATGAATTATTGTGGTTTCAGGACCGGATAGTTCTACCAACAGCTTGGATACCTCAAGTGCTTCATGATTTCCACAGTTCAGTCATAGGGGGCCACTCGGGGTTCTTGCGGATGTACAAACGGATTTCGGCAAATTTCGTTTGGAAAGGTATGAAATAGACTGTCAAAGATCATGTCTCCAGCTACGAAAAGTGTCAACTAGCTAAATGGAAGCTCTGTCACCAACGGGCTTGTTGCAGCCCTTGCCGGTTCCGCAGCAAATTTGGGAAGATCTCACTATGGATTTCATTGGGGGTCTACCTAAATCTCAGGGGATGGACACTATCTTGGTGGTCGTCGACTAGCTTTCCAAATACGCACATTTCTGCCCCTTGGCTCATCCGTTCTCAGCTAAGCAAGTAGCCTCATTATTTGTTCGCGAAATCGTCTACCTGCATGGCTTTCCCCGTTCGATTGTGAGTGACCGCGACCCAATTTTCATGAGTCTGTTCTAGCATGAGTTGTTCAAGCTGCAGGGGACCAAACTCCAGCCGAGCACTGCCTACCACCCGCAGGCTGATGGCCAGTCTGAGGTTACCAACTGTTGTTTGGAAACGTACCTTCGTTGCTTTACTTGTGACAAGCCACGGTTATGGCTTTCCTTTTTGCCTTGGGCTAAATATTGGTTCAACACATCTTATAATGCGTCCATTCAGTGTTCCCCTTTTTGGGCAGTCTATGGCCGCAATCCTCCTACTCTCTATCGTTTTCAAGATGGTTCAACTGTTGTCCATGAGGTCACTGTCCAACTTCAGGAGCGTAATCAGATATTGGATGCACTTAAGGAGCATCTAAGGTTGGCTCAACAACATATGAAGCTCTTTGCAGATCGGCGTCGTTGAGAGATTCAATTCTCCCCGGGTGATTTAGTTTTGTTGCGACTTCGCCCTTACTTCATGAAGTCTCTAGCTCGGAAAGTTAACGAAAAACTGAGCCCGCGTTTCTATGGGCCTTTCACTGTTCTGGAGAAAGTGGGACCGGTTGCATATCGCTTGGATTTGCCAGCCTCCGCCAAGATACACCCGATTTTTCATGTATCGCAGTTGAAGCAGTTTAAGGGTCAACAATACAAGGGTCAACCCCTCCCTACTCAGTTGACTGCGAATCTCGAACTTCTGGTGCAGCCTGCCGCCATCTTGGGTTCTCACACTGTCACTGTAGGGGGTCGTCACATGGCCGAGGTTCTGGTTCAGTGGGCCGGACTACCTTCTTGGGATGCCACTTGGGAACCTGTCACTGTGATTCGGGAGCAATTTCCAGATTTCAACCTTGAGGACAAGGTTGTACTTGAGGAGGGGGGTAATGTTAGGTCTCCACCTCTTAAGTTCGTGTACGCCAGAAAGAGGAAGAAGGGCAAGCAAGGGCTGGAGGGTAATTTGGAGTATCAGTTAGCTTCGGGGTAAGCGTTACGGTTAGGATATTTGGCATTGGGATGTGGGAAGGCAAGTGGATACGTTTTCCGATAGGAGGGCTGTGGCTTGTTAGTTACAGGGATGAGAATAAATAGCCTAGGCCTTGAATAGAGAAGGCATCGAGAATTTTGCTATTAGGAGACGATCACTTGGGAGGCTAGAGGGTCCTTGAATTCCCCCAATTATTTGTATTTCCGTTTCTTTTTGCTTTAATAAAAGGAACCAGACCTGTTTTCTGGTTATTTTCCATTCAATTACGCTATTGTTCTTTCCCAGTCAACAATTATTTTTAAAAGAATTCCCAGGAGCCTAACAGAATTAAATTTCTTTTCCTAGAAAAATAGAGTAACTACCTTCTATTCAAGATATACCCTCCCTTAAATTCACTTATTTTCTACGTGCAAGGGTATTTTTGTAGCTACACTTATTCTTATTCTAATTCCTCCTCGGTTTAATAAACTATGGAATAGAAATTCAATTCCAATAAGACATGATTTCTAATTGTTTAGCAAACACTGTATTGGAATCCTGGAACTCACATCTACCAAAACTTAGTTCCAATTCCATGTATTCCTGGTTCCAAAATTCCATCAAGGTGGGTACTAAATTATCATGAATAAGAACAAAAGATAAAAATAAATATATATATATATATATAATATTACAAAAATATCCTTGTACACATAATCAAAGTTGAGAGTACTAATGACAAAGGTAGTTTCTTTCATTCCTTTAGGAAGAGGAACTCAATTCCAGTAGTATGCTGAAGCTAATTTCCTTCCCAACCAGAAACTAGTTAATGATTTGTGGGTGGGACCGTTTCATTTTATTCCCAAAGTAAAAGTAAACACCATAATTTTAAATGAGAACCTAATTCCCTTTCCACTCTTTGTTTTCCTATTAGTAAAGCAACATCGATTACTACTGGAATGAATTTAATCAATTTCAGAAAAAATTAAAAAAAAAAAAAAAAAAAGCCATCTATTCAAGGAAATTTTCCAAATTCCTAATAGATCATTGATGAAATACTGAAACATTGTATGTGCAGATGAAATTTCCAACTCATGCATAATTTTTATTTTACCTGATCCAAAGAGAACATAAAATCCAGAAGGCACATCAATCTCTGATTGCTCCTCCCTGAAAACACACAAGAAATAATTTGTACTATGAAGCGGGATCCTGAGATTTATACATAACCGAAGAAAATCAAGTTCTTATGCGTGTTGTTTCGTCTAGCAAAGAATACATTATATATAGACCTTAAAGATACTAATCAAATTAAAACTAGAAGGTAATGAAAGATAACTATTTCCACCTAATTAGAATGTGGATCATTTCAGAGGGAAAGCACCAGAATATTATACTGAAAGAAACTAATTCACTCACGAGAAGAAACACAATAATAAAGTATTTTAGATCTGATTTATTTTAATTCCTTTTTACTTGAGAAAATTCCTCGTACCGGAGAACATTTAGACGGAAATATAATTATAATATCCACTTAAAGATAGATCCAGTCTACTGAAATACATAACGAAATTTGTCCTTTCTAACAAAAACTTTACATGTTAAGCATAATACCGCGTCATATTCATAGAATAATAATTATAAAGAGAATAATCAATAAATGTAGTGAATCAACAAATGAGATTATCCTAACCATGTATATCTGACAAGAATGTGCTTGGGCCACGTTTGAGGATCCCAGAACTGTTGACGAATGTTTGGATGAATCTCAAGGTCTGTTGGGAAACATAACACAAAATTGATTTAACCATTTGCTCAACGTAAAAGACTTAGAAGTTTATGCACTCGTCCTCCAATACCATGAATCCATACAATACAAAATAGCAGGAAATCCTGCTATCTATTCTACTCATAAACGGTGCCACAGTGACTACAATTCATAAAGGACCACCTAAATGCTGAAAATATTAAATAATAATAACAAGATAAAGCACTTAACTACTTAGCAATAACATAAGCCTCTCTAGATGATAGGTGTGCATGTTGAGGCCTATAAAGTCCATAAAAGTCACTACGATAAGCACTATTACAGAATGATAGATACAGCACGGTATTATATTACATACAGTGATGAGGCATATCCACTACTTTAGCAGTGACACCAAGCAAATCAGTTCCCGAGTACCTCTGCATCACATAAAAGCAATAACACGTCAATTGGACATTACAGCTAGCATATTTCAAATTCTTCAGGACAAACGGTTACTAATATCAAAAGCCAAAAGGTCAAAAATTTCAGCGTCTCAATGAAGCATATCATTGTAATATTTGACAGAAGTCTATAAGCTGATATCATAATCAGAAATTTACCAAATGCACATCCAACATGGGAACCTCTGAACTTTTACGATTTATCACAAGAAGCCATGGTACTAAAAACTTCTCTCTTCCAACTTGAAATGATCTGCACAATAGTCCACATCCATTATAATATAAAACTCATAAAGTAAAACACAAGTTACAAAATTGACATTTTAGAATCTCCAATCTTTATCAAAATAAACTAACCGACGAGAAGTATACAAACAACATATATTTCTTAACAGCACCCGATTAAAGGAATGTAAATGATAGAACAAGTGAGCCAACAACAAACAACATATTGAAAATTTCCCAAATTCAGCAACTTCCAAAATGAAACACAGTATTTGTTAATTTATTACTACTAAATAATTAGTCCCTCATTCCATTTTTTCTGTTGTTTCCAATTCAAAGCCAAAAAGAGAAGAGGGATAGATATGAAATTTGACATGTTAACTCTAAAACCCATTCAAAATTCGTAAGATCAAAAATGTGTTAAAATAAAATTAGCCTTCACCATCAAACACCTCAATCATTCAATTCTCGAAATTTATACCCTAGTTTATCATTACAAGACTCACTAATGTATACTCACATTTTGTATGGATCAGCTCCAGTGTAACCCACCGGCTTTTCTATAGGGGCCAGAACCTATTATGCATAATCCCACCAAAAAAAAAAATCAACATTTATAAGTAATAAATAAGCCCAGAGAAAAGGAAAAACAAATTAAGAACCGAATGCCCTAGGTGAGAGAAATCGAAAGATCGTACCTCACGATTAACGGCAAAGATCGGGCAATTACGACCGATCACGTCTTGCCACGTAGTTCTCGACTGAAATTACAGAATTCAACCAAAAAGAAAGAAAAAAACAGAAAAAGGAAATTTCGTGATCATCATGTGAAGTATAAAAAAGGGAAATTTGAAGATTGAATTCCAGATTTGAATATGTGAAATGGAATTAGAGGAATACGAACAGAGTGGTATTGACCCATCTTGCTCATGGGGACGATATCGCCGGGCCTGTAAGCGAGAGAGTTGGAGAAAAGAAGGAAGAGTGAGAAGAACAGCAAAGAAGAGGCCATTGATCCGCCTCCATTTTTCACCATCCTCGGAATTTCTCGTACATTGACTCAAGAGATTTCGGCTTCCTCTTCTTTTTCTTCTTCCAGTATCCACCCTCGGCTCAAATCCCAAGTAAAGACCAGTCTTTTGCGTCCTCTTATTTATTTTTTATTTATTTTTATTTTTTTTCCTTTCTTATGCGTACTTAATTACGTCTCCAATGGAGATGCTTATATTAGGAAAAGAAAATGGAGAAGAAAGAAAATATTCTCATTACTCTGATTAAAAGCAAGTATATTTGTGCCGGTTATTTTATTAATTTAAATTTTATTATATTAAAAAATTTTCAAAAATAGTTACATTTAATATTTTTGTTACAATAAAAAATTTTCACATAAAATCACATTTCAACTCAAATCAGTGAACTAAACGGGTCATAGGATTACATATAGACGAGTGATTGGCTTCAGAATAGCTAAGTTGACGTTTAGTTTATGAATTCAGAACTATGATTTAAAATTATTTTTGTTTTATGTGTATTTTTCATGAGAGAAAAATATTATAGAAAACCATGAATTATGATTCAGAATCAGGAACGGATATAAAAAACAAACATCCCCTAATAAATTTCTTTTAGAATATCATATACAGCTCACATAACAGAAACATTGAATGAGGACAAATGGCTAACAAATATCATCAGAAAAGAGGCTAACATGCGATGTGGCTAATGTGCGCTAATATGCTAATACTCCCCCTCAAGATGGAGAATATAGATTTTGAATTCTCATCTTATCTAAAAGAAGCTGAAATTGTGTAGGATGAAGAGCTTTGGTAAGAAGATATACAAGCTGATTGTGAGTAGAAACATGAATAGTTTTCAAGACACCAGCTTGAATCTTTTCCCGCACAAAGTGACAATCGATCTCGATGTGTTTGGTGCGTTCATGATAGACTGGATTGACAGCGATGTGAAGAGCCGCTTGATTATCACAGTAAAGAAGGGCTGGTCTGCGGTGATCAACCTGCAACTCCTCAAACAACCCAAGCAACCAAACAATCTCACAAGTAGTGTTGGCCATATATCTGTATTTAGCCTCTGTGGAGGAACGAGAGACAACCTATTGCTTCTTGAATTTCTAAGAGATGAGAGAAGATCCAAGAAAAATACATAAGCCAGTAAGAGAACGTTGAGTGTCGGGACATGTACCCAATCCGCATGTAATGGTGAGGTATATTAGCTTCCTAAGCAATCTTCAATAGCTTGTAGGATCTATAAGTAAATCACCATCAGAGTGTGTAGCTGCTAAGATGTTGTGCAAAAGGAGAGAAGCATACAATATGACTATTCCTATCCGTGTGATGTCAATTATGTGACCATTTGGGAGATTAATGGTGATTGGATCAATGAGTGTTGAATGGGAAAAACTAGACAAATTGCAACAAATATGATGTGTCTCACCAGTATCGATAACCCAAGTATCATGAGGAACACTGCAATGTGAAAGAGAAAGAATAGAGATGAGATTACCATGGATGTGAGAAGTAGAGGGCTGTGGAGCCGATTGAGTGTCAGGTATGTCGGTGTTTGCAGTGGGAACATGGAGTTGCAAGCTTAGGTAAGCAATGTGATATGAACCTTGCCAACGACGCGACGTGACCTAACACCAAACGCGGATCACAACCCCAAGATCTAAAAAACGCAAGATTGTTGAGCCTTACCCAATCAAGAACTACGAAAGATGAAGAACGTCACACCAAGATTCTCAAGAATCACCCATTAATCTCGATGATAAGTTCGATTGTTTAAACACCACAAGAAGAGTACTTGATAAGTTCAAAGTCTTCTCAAGAGCCAATAAGCACAATATGTGAAAAACCTCTAATATTATTCTTGATTGTCGAAAATGTGTTTTTACAGCCTTATTTATATTTGATACGTTTTTCAACCCTGACAAAAACTGAAACATCTAATTACCTAAGTTTAAGCTCAAACTCGGCAAACCCTACCTATTCTAATCCAAGGCCAATTCGGCCACAATGTTTTCCCCTAGGCCCAATTCAGCCAGCCATGTCCTATGTAGAAAATAACATTAAAATCCCAATAACAAATTAAAACATAAGTAACAAATATCCATAACAAGGCTTCTTAATTTGAGTTGGACTCCCCTTGCTAAGCTCTTGCAATTCAACTTGAATCTTCTAGAACCTTAATCATGGTGACTAGGTTCTCTTTATTCTGGTTTGGACTTGTGTTGGGCCTCCATGTGTTTGCCATATCTCCAACTTGTTGAACCAGCACGTTCAATGCTTCCTTGAAGCATTTGACTCTAAGCCTTGTCACCGGACCACTTGGTAGACTCAATGGATTTCTTGAATGTTGCCCTTGCCCTTGTGCTCCGTAAGCCAATTGTGCCTCTTGTGCTGCACATATCGCATCACTCTCTCCCTCTTGAAAAGGATTTGTCCTCAAATCGTCACCGACATCAAAAGGAGATAGATCAGAAACATTAAAGCTTGCACTAACACCATACTCACCTGGTAATTCAAGCTTGTAGGAATTGTCATTGATGCGCTCCACCACTTGAAATGGTCCATCACCCCTTAGAAGAAGTTTTGAACATCTTTGCTCGGGAAAATGATCCTTCTTCATATGCAGCCAAACCCAATCTCCTGGTTCAATGACAACCTTCTTACGTCCCTTGTTGGCTTGCTTGACGTACTGCTCCATTCGCCGCTCTATGTGTTGTCTTGCTTTCTCATAAATTTGCCTAACAAAATCAACCTTCTTTTTGCCATCTAAGTTAACATGTTCACTCAAAGGTAAAGGAGTTAAATCCAAAGGAGTCAGTGGGTTTAAACCATAAACAATCTCTAACGGTGAAAACTTAGTTGCAAAATGAATACATCGGTTATAAGTAAATTCAACATGTGGCAAACAATCTTCCCATATTTTCAAGTTCTTTTGTATGATTGCTCGCAATAAAGTAGACAAAGTCATATTCACTACTTCAGTTTGACCATTGGTTTGTGGATGACAAGTAGTAGAAAACAATAACTTGGTTCCTAACTTACCTCACAAAGTCTTCCAGAAGTAACTCAAGAACTTTGCATCCTTATCAGAAACAATGGTTCTAGGCATGCCATGCAACCTAACAATTTCCTTGAAGAACAAATCAGCTATGTGTGATGGATCATCGGTTGTATGACATGCAATGAAGTGTTCCATTTTCGAGAACCTATCTACAACCACAAAAACTAAGTCTCTCCCCCTCTTAGTCCTAGGTAATCCCAAACGAAATCCATGGAAATGTCAACCCAAGGTGCACTAGGAATGGGAAGGGGTGTGTATAAACCATGTGGTCGTTGCCTAGACTTAGCTTTCTTACATGCAATGCATCTATTACAAAGTCTCTCCACATCACGTTTCATGTGTGGCCAAAAAAAGTGCTCTTGCAACACTCCTAGAGTTTTAGCTACCCTAAAGTGACCCATCAAACTGCCACTATGTGCTTTCCTAACAAGCAATTCACGCAAAGAGGAATGTGGAACACACAATTTATTTTCCCGAAACAGAAAACCGTCATGTAAATAATATCTCCCACTCGCCCCCTTTGTGCAAGTCTTGAATGTTTCCCCAAAATCAGAGTCTAATGCATACAATTCCTTAATGTAATCAAATCCAAGCAATTTAGTGTCTAGAGTTGAAAGTAAAGCGTACCTGCGTGAAAGTGCATCGGCAACTACGTTTTCCTTACCTTGCTTGTATTTGATGACATGGAAATGTCTCAATGAACTCCACCCATTTGGCATGGCGTCAACTCAACTTATGCTGCCCCTTTAAATGCTTCAAAGATTCATGATCCGTATGAATCACAAATTCCTTTGGCCAAAGGTAGTGCTGCCAAGTCTCTAGAGTTTGAACCAATGCATACAATTCTTTGTCGTAAGTGGGATAGTTTAGGGCTGCCCCATTCAATTTCTCGCTGAAGTATGCAACCAGTCGTCATTCTTGCATCAAGATACCTCAAATACCTATACCTGAAGCATCACACTCAATTTCAAACGTTTTAGTGAAGTTATGTAAAACAAGTAAAGGTGCATTAGTCAACTTTTTCTTGATCAGTTTGAATGCCTTCTCTTGTTCCTCTCCCCACTTAAACGGAACATTCTTCTTGATGAATTCGATTAAAGGCACGGCTAGGCTGTTAAAGTCCCAAACAAAACGTTGGTAAAAACTAGCCAAGCCATGGAAACTTCTTACCTGTCCAATGGAAGTAGGCGTTGGCCACTCTTAAATGGCCCTCACCTTTTCTTCGTCCACCTCAATCCCTTTAGCACTAACAACAAAGCCAAGAAACACAAGCTTATTCGTGCAAAAGGTGCACTTTTTAAGGTTAGCAAACAACTTTTCCTTCCTTAAAACACCTAAAATAAGTTTCAACGCACATTCTCCATGTCAATTTTAAAGAATACACAAGCTCCATGTAGTTCATCTAGCATATCATCTAAACGAGGAATAGGATGATGATACGTTACCGTTATATTGTTGATTACTCAGTAATCAACGCACATTCTCCATGTCCCATCCTTCTTAGGCACTAGCAAAACTGAAACTGCGCAAGGACTCATGCTTTCACGCACATACCCTTCTCCAACAACTCACCTACTTACCTTTGAAGTTCCTTCGTCTCCTCGGGATTACTCCTATAGACAGGCCGGTTTGGAATTGATACATTGGGTATAAAGTCAATTGGATGTTCAATTCCCTGAATTGGAGGTAAACCAGAAGGCATCTCTTCGGGAATTACATCCTTAAACTCCTGCAAGAGAGAAACAACGTTGCTCAGCAAAGAACCAAAAAGATTGTTAGTATTCAAAAGGGCCTCCTTTTTTTAATGAGCACTATAAGGGGCTGTTGTGAAAGTAAAGCTCTCTTAATCTCACTTTTTGCAGCCATGAAATTGTAATTATTTTCTCTCATCAAATCAAGGTTGTTACTCTCTTGTTTTCCCTCTCATTATCTCTCGTGTTTTTGCCTCCCTCAACTTCTTTTCTCTCCTTTTCTTTTCTCTCTTTTTTGGCCTCTTTTTCCTTTCCTTTTCTCTTTGTTTCTTTTCTTTCTATTTCGGCCTCTCTCTCTTTTACTACTATCTTTTCCTTTGCTTTTTGC